ATGCAAGAATGACGGGCTCCTTTGAAAGGCCAATAAGGGGCTTGTTCTATACATGCATGATGGACACACACAATGGAATACAAGCTCTGAAATATGATAGATAATGGACCCAAAACATGAACACACCTCAGTATATGCATGTAATGAGCCTTAAAACTCAAAATTAAGCATGGGTATTGAACTACAAGCATGCAAAACAAACATAATTCAACCACAAGACCCAAAAACAGAGCTAGGGCAGTCCAAAATAAGCACAACATCAGTTTAAGGCATGGCCAAAAAGTGTTAAAATCAAGGGTCAACAAAGCATGCAAAGAAAGCTAGTGAACAATGAGTTACACTACAACTATATGGAGCATATGAAGGCTCACCAAACCAGCCAAAAAAAGAAGTATTCCATGCCAAAATATGCCCAAATAACCACTGAAACTCAGTCAATGCATGCAAGAATGATGGGCTCCTTTGAAAGGCCAATAAGGGGCTTGTTCTACACATGCATGATGGACACACACAATGGAAAAACCACCTCTGGATAGAGGTTCTGAGGGTCCTAAAACCCTCTAAAAAGAGCCTTAAAGGGGTCTAGGAAACATGCAAATAAAGGCCCCTTTGAAAGGCCTTGAATGAGATTGTTCTACACATGCATCAAAGACACAAAATATGGCAAAATGGGCTCCAGAAAGAGTCAAGGAAGACCTTAAAACTCACCAAATAGGGCCTGAAATGTGACTTTGAAACATGCAAAATGGAGCTCCTTAGAAGGCCAACAAAGCTAGTAAAGAGAACAAGGGGTGAGAGGGTCACCCTTCTCTGATTTTAGGGCTCAAGAACACATCTAAGCCACTAAAAATCCACTGGATTTTAGTGGCTAAAAGGCCAAACCAAGGCCAATGCAAATGCTCAAATGCATGGCTCAAATCATGAGGAAATGAAGCATGAAAGGGGGTAGATGACACCGAACAGAAAAAGTATCTGAAACAAATATGTTTATAAGCTCAAAAAAAAACTTTTTCCAATTTATGTCGAGGTCCAAAAATGCTTGCAAGTATGGCTAAGCAATGAAGCAAAATAATGCAAAAAAAAAAAGGGAAATAGAGGCTTGCCCATGTAGAGCCGACCCTCAGCAACTTCTGGACCAAGGTAATGAGCCTTTAACCTCTGCAAATCAGTTCCAAGGTGCTTGGATGGATGGTGAAGGTGTTGTGCTAGGAGGTGTAGTGCAAATGGCCAAGAATAATGGAGTTTTGGAGCTTAGAAGAGAGAGATATGGAGGGAAGTGTATGTATGCTCTAATCAAAAGGTTCAACCCTAGCAATGGAAGAGGAGGCCTCCCTTTATAGAGAAGAGAGGCCAAAGCTTCTCTAAGAAGCTTCAAACCAAGCTCAAAGATCCTCCATACACGTTTATGGAGGATCACTTCTGAGGCTTCCAGCTGGCACAACTGCTTACACTCAAAGAGACCAAAAAATAGGAAGCAGGCCGACCAGTTAAGGTGGTCGGCAGGCCACTCCCCCCGGGGTCAGCCGACCAGGGGTCAAAAAGGTCAAGTTGAAAAGGTGGTCGGCCATACCAGATTGGTGGCCTCCCAGGTGAGTACAACACAGCTGTATGGTGGAAGACTAGAAATTGTGGCCTAAGCGTGAGAAAAACCAGCTTTCTAGCAAGGTTAAAAAGGGTCAGGAAGAAAAGCTGGTCGGCCTACCCATATTGGTGGCCTCCCAGGTGAGTACAACACAATGGTGGTATGGGAGACTAGAAATTAAGGTCCAAAAGTCAGAAAAACCAGCTTTCTGTCAAGAAAATCGGCTGGAGGAGAGAGAAAATAATTTTCAAAAGAATTGCTGGTCTCCCACCATCCTACCACCTTCCTAACAATGAAACTAGGGTACATACCAAAAATGAACCCTAACCGATGCAAAACAAGGGTTCGGGGGCCAAAACGCGCAGCCCGAGGCCCCGAAAACAGGCTGTTAGGTACCGGAAGTGGCGTGCGACCACGAAGGTGGTCTCTCGAGCCACAGTCTCCCTCAAAAGAGAGGAAACAAGGTGTGTGCCAAAAACCAGAGCAAACGGAGGCAGTTAAGCGGTCCCGAACCGAGGCACATGGCCGACGGCTCCAAAAACCGAAAACTGGTCTCCAAACGGGAAAAATGGCCTACGGCCATGAAACGTAGCCTGCAGCCATTGAGAGATAGTCTACGAGGCCTCTCCCTCCCTTCGGGAAGAGAAAACAGAAAAAACAGGACCTAGTTCGCAAACCGAGGCAAAGCACAAAAGAGCCCTGAAGTCCGGAGGCAAGGCTCGCAGCCGAGACTCTGAAACCTCAGAACGAGCACAATATGCATCATCACCGAGCACTCAATTGGTGACGTCTGAGTCTTAAGGTCGGTCAAAATTGGGGTGTCTACAATAATAAAGACCACAGCACATATTACTTGCGTGTTTGCTTGTTTGATTGTTATTTGGTTACTAGGTTGCCCGATTCGGATAAGCACAACGATGATTTCTTACAAGTTGGTGGAAACTGGGAGTTCCCCGCCAAAACTGAGTTTCAGTCTAAGAGGATGCCCCAGATAGACGGCTACCCAGGTTCGGGCCTCTCCTTCTAATGTCTTTTGTATTTCTTACTTTATTTTGGATGTTGCTCTAATGAATCACTTCTTTTTTGCAGAGGCCTCTCGTTTCCAACGAAGACCGAACCGAGAGAACGTTGAAGCCATAAAAGTGACCCTGAGGTATAAAAAGAGATCTGTACCCAAGTTATTGGAATACCAGTCTACTTACCGTTCCACTATTCCAAAGAAGGCGAGGCTCGTTGCTGCCCTTCTGGACTCTAATACAGAGACCGACACGTCTCTCAATCCTTTGGTCACGAACCGTCGCAGGAGTCAAGGTGCACTTTCTGAGAGAGCGCCCTCCCCTGCTCCCGATTTCGTAGGGGACGGGTCTGTGGCGAAAAGAAGGGTATTGGTGGATTTAGAGTCGAAGCCTTTCGGAGCCTCCAATGTTTTGGAAACCCCTTTAGAAAGGACCGAGGCGAAGAGCCTAATGGAAGTGAAGATAGAGGTGAGAGCTTCTGGGACCCCTGTGACTGTTGCCGAGCCTCAGCTTCTGTCGCTGTGCGAGCAAAAAAGAGAAGAAGAGAGGCTGGCAAAGCAGTGGTGGGGGAAGCTTCTGAGGATCCTATTGAGGATGAGACTTTTGAGAAATGGGAGCCGCCAATGTCGCATAAAGGCAAGCCCATTTCCACTTCTGATTCAGTTGTTGCTTCACAAGATTTTGCCTTTGATTTGACTAAGTTTTTGTTGATGCCGGTTGACATGGCCGACCATAATGGGCCCCGTGATATTCCTATCTTGAAGGGGACCCTTCAGATGATGACTACTGTAAGTGTTTCCTCGTTTTACTTGTCTTTATTATTGCGTTGCTGTCTCATTTTCTCTTAATTCTTCGTTGTCCTTTGTAGTGTATCCAGAGAATGCATCTGTCCATTACCCGTGCTGAAGAGCTAAAAAGGGTCATGCTGGAGGCCGCAATGAACGCTGAGAGACTGACGGTAAGCTTGGAGACAGAGAAGGAAGGACACCGAACCACGGAGAGGGAAGCTTTTCGATTGAACAAGATTGTCACTTCAGTTGAAAAATCAAAGGAGGCTGCTATTGGGACACAGGCTCAACTCGAGGGGAAGGTGGCCGAACTGGTAGCCGTTGTTGCCGTGATGGCCGCCGAGCGCTCTGCTTTGAAGGCCAAGCATTGGCAACAAGGCCGGGATGAAGCTGAGGCGGCGTATAAGGAGGAGGTGCTAGTACTGCGAGACAAACTCTTTCTAAAGGGTTGGACGAGTGCTTTGGCTGCTGCACTGGTTCCTGAAGGCTCTTCCCTATTTCAGGATGTCCCCGTTCCTTCGAGATGCTTGGGTTCGAAGACTGTTTCCACCCCTGCTGTTCTTCCAGCCGAAGTTTCCCCAGAAGCTGATTCTGCAAACAAGACCCATGACAGTAATATTGTCGCTGAAACGGTGGAGGTTGAAAGGATTGAAACCCTGGAGACTGAAGCCGCGGGAGATATGGTTAAGGAGGCTTCTACTTCTCAAGAAGTTGGAGGTGCCTCTACTTTTCCTCTCCCAGATGGCCTGGACAAAATTGTTGATGTTGTTCCTGGGTTTCCCTCTGTTAGTGAAAGTTGATGTTGAAAGGATTTGAACTTTTTTTGCTTTTTTGTTTTTGATATATTGTGGCTCGGTCTCCATGACGAGCTTTCTTTCTGCACTTGCCAAGAGAATTTTTCTTTTCTCTTTTGTTTTCTTTGCTGTTGGTTATGGGGCCATCTGTGCCTTTTGTTGGATGATAGAATTTTCTCTTTGAACTTGCAATCTGATGCTGTTTGGCTTTTATGTCTGAATGTTTGCTATACTGCCTGCCCCCGGCCGAGCACTGTTGGGACCTCGGGGCCGAATAGATGCTCGGTTTGGTTCTGTACTGCTAGCCCCCGGCCGAGCATTGTTGGGGCCTCGGGGCCGAACGGATGCTCGGTGTGACTTTGTACTGTTTGCCCCCGGCCGAGCACTGTTTGGACCTCGTGGCCGAACTGATGCGCGGTGTGACTAACGGATATGTGGTATGGCTGTGCTTGAGTTCATAAGTGGGTCTTACTTAGGTCCAGGTTGGTTTAGAAAGAAAACAATTGTTTGCCCCTACCTGGAGCTAAGTAAGATTGGTACTGAAGATTGTGCTTTTAGATAGAACTGCTTAAGTTTATTGTAACTTTGATAGCGCAGATGCACTTGGATGAGATAAAGGCATGAAGAGGTGTCTTACTCAAGTCCAGGTTGGTTTGAAAAAACAATTTTTTGCCCCCACCTGGAGTTGAGTAAGACTAATGCTGGAAGCTTACTCCTGGCAGATCTTGGTCGTGCTTGTTCTAGCTCTGTTTGTTTGAATCAGTACTGAAGTGTTGACGTGTTGGTACTTGAGGAATTCTGTGGATTCAAAGACGTTTACTTAAGATATGTTAGTCGCTTCGTACTCTGCCTCGTTGTTCGAAGCCTTCCAACCAAGCCTGAGAGCCTGTTCCCAGATAAATCCTTCTGGTGAGATAAGTACTACTCCTGCCCCCAAACCTCGGTTATTGGGCGACCCGTCAACATAGAGCTGCCAGATGTTTCCGATGAAGAGTTTCCAGGCTTCCGAAACGCAGGGCTTTCCTTGTTCGATACTCTGGGTGGGAGCAAATTCTACAACGAAATCTGCTAAGACCTGGGCCTTAATTCCTGTCCTGGGTTGATACCGAATGTCAAACTCACCAAGTTCTACTCCCCATTTTGCTGTTCTGCCAGAGAAATCGGCTCGGCTATGGTAAGAACCAAAGCTAATTTCGTTTGATAAACATCAAAGCTATTTCCGTTTGGTAAGAACCAAAGCTAATTCCGTTTGATAAACATCAAAGCTAATTACAAGAATTTGATAAATTTGAGAGAAGTGAGAAAGCATTTGCATTGGTCAACAGATAAATGCATTTACATTCTGATAGAGAAGGTGGGGGACAATTCTATTGATAGTATTTCTTGAGATTTGCTACGTTCCAGGGCCGAGGTATAGCTCTGCCATTCAGATCCTCTAGGTAGTAGGCTCCATTTCCAATGACAACTGTGACTTTGTAGGGACCTTTCCAATTAGGCCCAAGTTTGCCCTCGCCAGGCACCCTTTTGTGATCCATAACTTTTCTCAAGACTAGTTCTCCTGGTGTAAATTGCCTTGGGAAAACTTTTTGGTTGAAACTCTTGATGAGCTGCTGCTGATACGCTACAAGTCTGATCAATGCTGCTTCTCTTCAACCCTCTGCCATATCTAGTGCTTGTGCAATAGCTTCCTCGTTACTAGTGCTCTCAAACAATTCAGACCGAAGGGTTGGGAGGCCGACATCGAGTGGGATGACGGCCTCCATTCCGTAAGTTAGTGAGTAAGGTGTTTCCCCCGTTGATCGTCGCGCTGTGGTTCGGTATGTCCATAGCACGTGGGGTAACTCTTCAACCCATTTTCCTTTGGCATGCTCAAGTCGTTTCTTTACTCCGTTGATGATGGTTTTGTTTGAGGCTTCTGCCTGTCCATTGCTTTACGGGGTACCCTGGAGAAGAATTCCTATACTCGATCCTAAGATTGGCACAAAACTATCTGAAGATCTTACCATCAAACTGTGTTCCATTATTCGCAATCAGTACCCGCGGGATGCCGAAACGCACCACCACATTTCTCATAACAAACCGCTTCGTATCTGCCTCTTTGATATTTGCCAATGCCTCGACTTCAACCCATTTAGTAAAATAGTCGGTTGCTGTAATGAAGAATCGCCTGTTCCTAGTGCCTCGCGCCAATGGTCCGACAATATCCAGACCCCATTGGGCAAAGGGCCGTGGGCTGGTGAGTGGGGTGAGAGTTTTGGCTGGCTGATGAATAAATGGAGCAAACCTCTGACATTTATCACACTTCTGTATGTATTGCTGAGCATCTTGTTGCATCCGTGGCCACCAATACCCGTGAGTGAGGGCTCGGTGCGCCAGTGACCTTCCGCCAACGTGGCATCCACAAATCCCATCGCGAATTTCGTAGAGAACATTCTCGACCAGATTTGGATGCATACATAGAAGATAAAGGGCCAAGATATGAGCGTCTGTACAGCTTCCCGGATGGTGAGATCCAAAACCGAGCTGACTTGTGTCTGACTTTGTTGGCTTCCTTTTTGTCTTCGGGGGAGAGTACCAGATTTTAGAAAAGCAAGTAGTGGATCCATCCAGCTCGGCTCTATGCTGCTGCAGAGGACTGGAGATGCAATGCTTGGCTCTGGCATGAACTCAACCCAAACTTTTCTGGCATCTTTGGTATCCACTGATGAGCCGAGACAAGCCAAAGTGTCAGCATGGCCGTTTTTGTCCTGACTAATTCGTTCCACTTGTATAGATTGAAACTTTTTGAGTAAGTCTTTGCCCTTGCCTGCGTACATGGCCATTCTTTCATTCTGTGTTTCGTAAACCCTAGAAAGCTGGTTTACCACTAGCTGTGAATCCCTGAAAACAAGAAGCTGTTCTGCACTGAAGTGTTCGGCACTGCGTAAGCCAGCCAACAACGCTTCGTACTCTGCCTCGTTGTTCGAAGCCTTCCAACCAAGCCTGAGAGCCTGTTCCCAGATAAATCCTTCTGGTGAGATAAGTACTACTCCTGCCCCCAAACCTCGGTTATTGGGCGACCCGTCAACATAGAGCTGCCAGATGTTTCCGATGAAGAGTTTCCAGGCTTCCGAAACGCAGGGCTTTCCTTGTTCGATACTCTGGGTGGGAGCAAATTCTACGACGAAATCTGCTAAGACCTGGGCCTTAATTCCTGTCCTGGGTTGATACCGAATGTCAAACTCGCCAAGTTCTACTCCCCATTTTGCTGTTCTGCCAGAGAAATCGGCTCGGCTAAATACAGATCTGAGGGGGAATTCAGTGAGGATATTGATGGTATGCCCCTAGAAGTAATGTTGTAACTTTCTCGAGGCGATAAGCAGCGCGTAAGCTAACTTTTCCAATGGTAGATACCGTGTCATTGCGTCTAGTAAAGTCTTGCTAACGTAGTATACAGGCCTCTGTTCCTTGTTAACCTCTCGAATTAATACTGCGCTTACGGCATGATCTGAGACTGCTAGATAGAGGTACAGCTCCTCTCCTGGCTCTGGAGTAGACAGAAGGGGAGGTGTACTGAGGTATTTTTTGAGACTTTGCAGTGCTTCGGTGCACTCGGAACTCCATTCAAATGCTGCCCTTTTCTTCAAAAGCTAGAAGAAGGGCTTCATCCGATCTGAAGATTTGCTGATGAACCGATTCAGTGCGGCTACCATTCCAGCTAGTTTCTGCAGCTCCTTAGCCTTTGTATTGCTTTTATTTGGTCCAGATTCGCCTCAATTCCTTTATGAGTGACCATATATCCCAAGAACTTCCCTGTTCCTACCCCGAAAGCGCATTTCAAGGCATTGAGGCGAAGCTGATGGTTTTTTAAGATGCCGAAAAATTCTCTCAAGTCTGTAAGATAGTCTGTAGCGAACTTACTCTTGACTACCATATCATCTATATAAGCTTCCATGGTTTTTCCCAATTGGTCCTTGAACATCCGAGTTACCATCCATTGCTAGGTCGCCCCGACGTTCTTGAGGCCGAACGGCATCACTCTGTAGCAATAAGTTCCTCTCGGAGTGATAAATGCTGCCTTTTCTTGATCCGGACCGAACAGTGGTATCTGATGATAACTGCTATAAGTGTCCAGAAAACTCATGCGCTCATGCCCTGCTGTTGAGTCTACTAGTTGATCAATGCGAGGCAGAGGAAAGCTATCTTTAGGGCAGGCTTTGTTCAAGCAAGTGAAGTCAACGCAAACTCTCTATTTTCCGTTCTTTTTCTTGACTACAACTGTGTTGGACAGCTATTACGGGTACTGAACTTCCCTGATTGCTCCTGAAGCTAGGAGTTTTTCGACTTCGGCAATTATTGCTTCGGTGTGCTCGACTGAGGATCTCTGACTTTTTTGCACAATGGGCCGAGCTGAAGGGTTGATGTTGAGCTTGTGGCAAGCAAATTCTGGGTCCAACTCTGGAGTATCATATGCTGACCATGCGAATACCTCCATATTTTCCCTCAACAGTTCCAGCAGCTGAAGTTTCTCATCAACGCCTAGCGAGGTACCGATAAGGAAGTACTTTTCTGGGTTATCCTCTTTTACCAGGACTTTCTCCAAATCCTCTACTATTTTTTCCTCTGGAGCTCCCCCTACATCTTCCAAGACTAGCTGTTCGGCCACTTCTACCTTCTGTACCCAATTATAGAGCTGCTTTGCCTTTAATGCTGCCATGAAGCAATGTTTGGACGCAACTTGATCCCCTGAGATCTGCGCTACTCCGTGTTCCATTGGGAAATAGATGAGCTGGTGGTAGGTCGAAGGGACTGCCTCCATTTGATGAATCCACGGACGGCCAAGTATGGCGTTGTAAGGGGATGGTGTATTAATTACCAAGAACTCTATCTGGAGGGTTTTTGTTCCTGCCAAGACTGGCAACACTATTCTGCCAAGCGGCCATTCTGGTTGTGAATTGAAACCGACCAACGGGGCTGCCGCTGGGGTGAGGTGCTGCTCGGAGAGACCAAGCTTTCTGAACAAATCATAATACAATATATCGACTGCACTACCTTGATCTACCAAGACTCGTTTTACATCAAATCGTTTCCCAATTCCCACAGTTATAATCAGTGCATCAATATGTGGGTGCTATATGCCTTCTAAATCTTTGCTAGTAAATGAAACAGTGCACAAGGGGGATTTAGGTACTGTACGTACCTTTTTCGATGAAGGCTCCACTAACATGACCCGCTAAATTTGCATAGCCTTAGCGATCTCTTTTTTCAGTGCCTCATCAGATTCCTGAGTCGCTGACCCGTGGATCACATTTATTATCAACTGAGGTGGGTGCTCAACATTCGGTTCTAGTGGTGGGTTCCCCGGTTCGGTCACTTCCTTATCTTGATCAATGTAATCCCTTAGGTGTCCAGCTGCCACTAGGTCTTCCAAGTGTTGCTTCAGTGCCCTGCAGTTCTGAGTCATGTGCCCCTGTCTTGGTGGTAGGTGCATCTGAGCTTCTAATTGCACCGAGCCGGATCTCCCAACATCTTCGGCGACCAAACAAAGAATGGCTCTCTCTTGATCTTTTCCAGGATTCGATAGATTGGCTCTTTGAATACAGTCACAACGGCTTCGTGGGATTTGGACTTATCCACTTCATTCACTGCAATCCCTCGGTGTTCTCCTCGATCTGCTCTCTTCTTGTGCCGAGCTATTTGTTCTGCTGACGCTACCTCGATGGGGATCTGATCGTCTTCGAGGCAAGCGTACTGCTCAATCCTGGCACGCAAATCTTTCAAAGCTGTGGTCGGGCGTTTGGTAAGTGATTGTCTCAGCGTACTTTCCGAGCACAGACCATGTTTGAAGGACATAACGGCCACCTGCTCGCTGCACACATTTTCCTCCAGGTCATTGTACTCTTCCCAGTACCTCCTAGCATAATTACGCAGCGTTTCCTCCTGCTCATTTCGGAGACCGAACAGTGTATCCGACTCCTTCGGGATCTTAGTGTTAGAGACGAACCTGGCTAAGAACTCTTCGGAGAGCTGCTTCCAGCCATGGATCTATCCAGCAGGGAGACGATCAAACCATCGAAGTTCAATTTCTCCCAAGCTGGATGGGAAGACTTTACACATCAGTGCCTCATCTCGGTTCCATAGGGACATCATCTGTCTATAATGGATAATATGTGTCAGCGGGTCCGACTTCCCGTCGTACGAAGTGAACTTTGGTGGGGTGAATTTCTTTAGAGGTCTCATGGTCTCAATCTCCGAGGAGAATGGCGAAGAGACGAGCCTGTCCAGCGCTCGGTGTTCTCTTTGGTGAGCAGTACGGTCCAGATGATCCCGATGTTGTTCGTTCTGCCTATTGCCAATCAACCAAGTACGAATGTCCTAAGGAGGGTAGTCAGTCTGTTGGCTAACTGTCTTCTGCCTTTTGGCCCTTCTCCGGTGTGACCCACGGGTGTGACTGCTTACTGCCTCACTCTGTATTGGGATATGCTGGCTTTGTTGTCTAGACTCATTCTTAGGGAACTTCTTCACTGGTAGCTCTCTGGATGAGCTCCTCCGTCGCAAACGAAAGGGCTCCGCTTTCGTTTTCTTTTCCGTCGGATCGCCTAGCACTCTCTTAAATTGGGCTTTCAACTCCTGTATCTCCATCCCCATGGAGTCTATGATTCAATCTCTATAATCATTTTCCAGAAGAAAGTGATGAGAAGAACCTCCAGCGAAGGGTAATCGATGCTCGACGGATTCAGGGGTTCGATTATTGTTTCCAGTTTGTTCCTCCGGGACTGTTGGGAGTGCCAAACCTTTGTCCTTCGTTTTCTCCATTTGTGGAGTATGTGTCGAAGGCGGAATGTCCTCAATCCCTATCGCCGGAACTGAGTGCAGAGCTCAGAGATGAAGTGTTCCACGCTCACCACACCAATTGTGCATACCGAACTCCGCACTAGACGAAAGTGGATCGGGGCCCTGCACTCGATTGGACTATCCAGGGACTGAGATTCCTGCCACAAGAAGCACCGTTAGAGCTGTCTGACCGGGGTTGGCTGGATAACCCCTCCGGTGTGGAAATTAGTGATCGGAGAGAGAATGTATATCGAGTTGAGCTTATAGTTTTACTTGGAATCGTTCAGTTACCTTCAATATGAAGTTCATGTTGCACATATAGTGTTCCTCGCTTGCTTCTCAAGGTGAGTTCATGGAGCTTGGATGCTGCCAGGTGTCCTTTTAGCATTGCTCAAGATGGGGGACCACCTGGTAGTTATCATTGAATGCATATACTCATTGTAGTCATGCTGATAACAAACCACATTCCTTTGATTCAACAACTTCCGTGATTCTAGGTGTAGGGGACCAGTTGAGGTGGCAATTTGCACATGCACATATTCACAACTTCCATGTTTTCTTGCAGGATTTCCTCAGCTCGGTACCGATGTGCCTCAGCTCGGCATCATTATGCCTTGTCTCGGCCTTTTACAGGATCATTCATGGAGATGGGCTGACCCATTCGGATATCTTTGTATGGGTTCGGCCTATTTTCTGTTCGGCCCATAGGTTCAGTCTCGCAGCTTGGCCTAGCCCAGCACCACGGCTGGACTAGCCTTTTCACTGCGGGTTGGGCCCAAGTGCTTGAAGACTTGGGTGGACTGTTGACATAAAGTTGGGCTCAATTGGTTTGCCCATATACTCATCTAACCCACTTGGATTTGGACTTCAGTGGATTGGGCCGGCCTAAGGCTTGGACCCGACCCATTTCACATTTAGCCCCTTCAAAAGTGTTTGGCTAGATACAAATATTTGGAACCAAAGTGCATGCATGCATCTGTTAGGTCTAATCTTGTGCCTAGTCTGGTTTGGGATTTGGCTCATCGTCCTCAACTAATTATGCTCTGGCCTCCAGGGTTTCCGTTGGAGAAGAAGAAGATGAATAGTAAAGCGAGAAAGGTATGAGCCGGTTGTATTTATCAGAGTTGAAGAAGCGCCATGATTTGAAATTTTTAGAAATTGTAGTTGACGTCAGGATGGAATGCATGGATCCATTAGGGGTGTGCCATGTGTTTGTGAAATGACGTGGTGTCAGCGTAAATTGGGGGATGCACCAGTTTGAAGCATCAGCTCTAAGCCAATAAATTGCATCACAAAACTGGACAATAGGTTTTGCTCGGCAAATAGGTGTAATCCCAGCCACGCCAACGCCATGCGAGATTAAGGGGCAATTGAGAGCGAAATTTGTGCTGAACAAATGAGCCGAGCAAAAACCTCTTTCGGGCCATGTTCGTGGCCGACCAACTGGGCTACTTGGCCCACGGAAGTTGAGATCAGGGTTGAAGGCAAACTCGAGTCATGAGCCGAGCTAGATAGCGACCTTAAGCTGAATAAGAAATGATGAACGAATTAGACCCATCCAACGGTCTGACCGAGAAATTATTTGTAACCGGACAATGAGTTATCATTGTTGGTTGCACATGGCTCAACCGAACGGCAGGTTTGCGTTATGGAGGATTGAACGTAACTCAACTGAGCTATGATGGCAGAGCAGTAATGTGGCTTTGAGAAGGCATACCTTGGCCTTGGAAATGTCGGAATTGGACCGAGCTAGGGATAGCTCGGTTCGCAGAGGCTACGTGGCATAATTGGAACGCAAGGTGAAAAACCCGCTAGTCGTACAAGTCAATACCGTTTGGAAGTTTAACTAATGCTGTTTGGCAGTACTGACACACACACGTGTAAGGAAAATAGAGGATAATACATCCACACGTCTAAGGAAGGACGAGCAACGTAGTGTGCGCACAAACTATATAAACCGCAAGGCGCCTCCATGCAAAAGGTCTGCAATTTTCCGTACTATGAGCTATCCTTACTTTAGTCCTTTCTTCTCTCTCTAAGGGTGCTAACTTGATTGTCGGAGGAGTTTTTAGGCAACACACCCACTAGGTAGCTCATCGTCATTTTGTTTTCAGGTTGTACGATGCCATTCAAAGCAACACAGAGTTTAGACGCAAGGAGTACGAAAGTAAAGAATATTTACTTCTTGTACACACACCATTTTTTTTTAATGAATAGTTACCTTGAAGACATAATTGTAATTTTATTTTTCCATGACAAGGTGAACAAAATGGTGCTCACAATAGAGAACCCCATCAAGGGAAAAATAGAAAAAGTGTTATAAGGGGACAATCTCCATGAACACACTTGAAGCATGACTTGTGTACAAATTCTCTCTCCATTGTCACTTGTTTTGCAAATGTAATATATGATAATAATTTTTATTTAAGCTTATGCTAACAACCTTATGGCCATGAATCCTCTTCTTCTAAAGAAGTTGAGCTGTCTCCAATCCTCATAAAAGATTGTCTAAGTTTTGGACTTGTAAACTCACTATAAGTTTCATTTTGATAATTCGAACTGTTTACTTCTTAAATGCATATGAGTAAATAAGCATATATTACAATTTCTACTTGAAAAAAAAAAAAAACTTTGGATTTAGTTTTTACATGTAGGTGGTTAATAAGAGCATTATAATTTTGTTTTACCCAAAAAAATGTTGCATTCCTAAACCTATTGTAAGAAAACCTCATAGTTCCCTTAATTTTGTTTCATTGCCAACAGAAAATTGTTTTTACTAAGGCATCATTGAGGTAAAACAGTACAAAAACAATGTGAATAAAAGACACCTCAAATGATGTTTGAGCTCTCATGTAATGAATACAAATAATTTAAATTCTTATCAATCTTTGAGGTCTCATTAAAGTAAGTTGAAACTTCAAAGAAAAATGACAATGACTCCGTTTGGTAGAGCTGTGAGAAAGTGATTATAACTTATACCTTAATAGCTTATAGCTTGTAACTGTGAAGAAAAGCTAATTTTTGACTTATAAATTAAGTTTCTCCTCCCACACTCAAAGAATAAGTTGATTTTTGACTTACAAAAAACTATAAGCTGTATTGTTAAGCTGAACCAAACACATCAAATAGCTTAAATTAAGCTAAAAGCTGAAATAAATTGGAAATAAACTCTACCAAACAAGGCCAATATGATAATAATGCTCATTACTTGAATACAGAAATGAATCCTATGAAAGGAATTACATATACAAATAGATGTTTCTGAAACCCCTTTTGTTTTCTATATTAAAAATTACAAATGTAAAATAATCGAACGCCTAGTTGAAATAAATTTCAGGGACATTAAACTTGCTTGGTTAGAAAGAGTTTTGTGCACTGCTTCACTGTATCTTCAGGGCTGGTAACTGAGAACACAACAAACAGAAAGTTCAGTTTAATGTGATTATGAAAGTAAAATATCACAAAAAGGTGTAATGTTGCTATTAATGTCCACTTAAAAGCGCATTTTGTTTTGCAATCATCCAATTATATTTATTTTCGAAAATGGATCCATTTTGTTTTGCAATCATCCAATTATGACAAATGAATAGATGCAAGTTGACGACATTAAAAGCAAAATGACATGTCTTGATTGGAGCTTTCTTTGCAATGACTCTATACTAATGCTGCACTTGATTCTCTAGACTAGATGCCATGGAAAATGAAAAATCGATGGTATATAATAATGCAATAATAAGCTGAAATATAGAGCTGACCTGTGTGACCCATTGTTCTCTCTGAGTCATATATCTCAAAGTCATTTCCTCCCTGCTCAAACAAACACCCAAGCAGCCCTTCATTTAGTTCCAAAAGAGTACTAAAAAAGTACATGTGTGGATTATGCCCAGATGTTTAAAATAAGCATATAACCCTGGTTCGAAGATTAAAGTGCACTGTCTGTACACTTCAGTGAAAGAACCAAAATACCTCTGAAGCAGCCTTAACATTGTGCAAACTAAAGGCATTTATGTCATCTTTTTCGGATGGAAATGTGTTTTAACAAAACCATCAGAATTCCAATTGTATGTTTTCACATTGGCTATTAATTTTAATGGCATGTTTGACGATGCACCAAATCATAGGAGGGTTATATGCTTATTTTTAAACATCGAGAGGGGTAAACCACACGTAGAATAAACTACGGGGTGTTGAAGTGAAGTTGGCCCCCCCAAAAAATGTGTGATCTAATACAACACAACACAACATATCACAACGGCGAATCAAAGCTTCCGAACAAGTTCGTGGCACATGAAAAATATCAAGCAAGGGAGAAAGAGAACCACCAAAATGAATGGAGAAGATAAATGGGTTACCTTATAAGTTTTGTCCCCAAAGAAGTGGATTTCGCTAAAATCATCAAGGTATCTCAAGCAGTAAGTCTTGTCCCACCCTTGAGGGAATACCTGTTGCAACATACAAGCATTACGCCCAAATACAAATTCAGCTGCAATGACTTCCATTTACTTTAGCAAGTTTAAAGTTGTGTTTGGATCAAGGATTTAGGAAGGGATTTGGGAAGGGAATGAAATATAAACTATTTTTTTTTCCCCCACTTTTTTCTTCCTATTTCCTTTCCCTTCATAAATCCTCACTTAAATATTTGACCCAAACACAATGTAAGAGTCATGAAAGCATAAACAAGGAATAACATTTACTCACATCAAAACTTATTTGTCCCCCTGTAGAAAAGGTGAGGTTAAGGTGTGCAAATTTCTTACGGAGCACAGACACCATCTTCGGGCGAATATTCTAAACCTGAATGTAATTTCAATAGA